GGCTGGTAATTCCTGTTTCACCCTGTACTTAAGCTTTATAAAGGAACGCCAAATTTCTGTAAGAAAGCTAACTTCAAGGGGTAATGATAATATCGTTGACACTACAATTATGATATTTTTTAATTACTAGTAGTTATTAATAATACGTACAAAAGCGGATACGCCGTTTCAAACTATGTCACCTCAGTGAAATGGGCTGACACCATTGTTTTGGTTTTTGGGTTATCTATATAAATATAATAGTTTTGTCTGTTGTATGTCCGTGTAACTACTTCGCAGGGTGTGGATGGATCTTCACCAAAAGTGGTATGTAGGTTCATTGGGTCCATGCGGGGGTACATAATTTTCTGTTTTGCATTTTGTGATTTTTATGAGCGTTTTTGCGTTTTTTACCACTATTTCGTCCCCTGTTGATGGATCGTCACTAAATTTGGCATGAAGGTTTGTTGGGTCCATGCGGAGTTACATGCATAGTTGCAGTTTCACATTTTGTGTTTTCCAGTTTTTATGGGCGTTTTTTTTTTACAATTACATACATGGGAAACAACTTTTCATGTTCTAAGGTAACATTTCGTTAATCATAAATTTACATAACTTCCATTCTGGGTACGGGTACTCCAGCTTGTCATGTAATAAAAAAGAAGCAGAAGACAGAAGAACAAGAAATTCAAAGTTTTTGCTACGATATTTATATACATTCCCAAAAACTTATTACTCGGTTATTACATAGATATGGTTCTAAAAGGAAACACTATATAGTACTGTAAAGTTCTGATGACCTATCAGGAGATATTTAAAATACCATTTCGATGAACAGTCCAAGCCATCCTTACATAGGGAAATTACCATAAGCCGATGTATTAACAACTTTATTAAAAAATAAAAGAAAATGTATATATATATGTACAAAATAAAACATGCAATAAATATATTATTAATTCAAGAGAAATACATTATTATTTGTCCATATTGCCTAACTTATCAGCATGAACAATATAAACAATTACATTCTGAGTTAATTATAAGGTAACATAGCCATAATAGGCCTAATACATAAGAAATCAAACATCAACAAGAATTACAAAAAGTTATAAAACAGTTAATTGTATATACATGTTCGGAAACCATCAATAGCATGCTTTAAGTATATATGTGTGTGTGTGTGTGTGTGTGTGCGTCATGCATTTGACTAATAAGTTGTTTAAAACTACTAATCTTAAAATTCTGAAGGAAAAACCTGAGAAATAAAAATAGAGAATGAGGGAAAACAAGGAAGATCAAGATGGGCGACACTAAGTTCTTAGGGCAACACAATCGTGGTTTTCTAGTAATGGTTTCTATTGTTGGGTGGATTTGTTTTTCGAATTATTCGACAAAAAAGAACAAGACATATCCACTGAATAATAACAAAGGTACTGAATTTCTTTGGATATAAATTCTACTGTTTACAAGTTCACCGTTTATGTAACTAACCACAAGCCTAACTTTACAAATAAACAATGTATAAACAGAAAATCTACTCGCTTGCTAGTTTCGTATCTTTTGTACTTTGTCGCAAACACAAACTCATAGCAACAAACAAATTGACTAGGTCCTGCACTGATTACTCCATTAACTAACTGACAGATGCCTTTGCTAACTGTAGCCTAACTTACTCTTTATATCTGCTCAATCTGTTCTAAGCCAACCGCTGATCACGTGACGCTAAAATTCTCTCTGGATAAACAACAATAAAAACGCATAAATTAAAAACAGCCTACAAAACACTGAAGCCTCCCTGAAATGTGAAAACGTTATTATACAAAAAATGAGGATACATTACTCTTAAGCTTTCATAATTAATAAAAAAGTAATGCTTTACAATTAACAATATTATTATTCTTAAATACAGACATTACAGCCATTAAATTATTAATGAAATCTTTTTTTTAAAAAAAAAAGAGTACGATAAAAAATTTTATTAATAAAATATTTAATAATTATCCTTAAACCGTCCAGTCAGAATATTGTTTTAGCGCTTTTCAATGAATTATGGTATGAAGATGTGATGACCTCTTGACCTTTATCATCACTTACTATCTTGTCAGTTATCTTCCGGTAGATGGTCGAGAAAGTTCACTAGTGGTTCCACAACTGGGTCTTGTAGTTATAATATAACGAAAATTGTAGTTCCTATTGTTAAACATTTGATTTCTAAAACTCTTTCGTTTTTCCTTCTAAAATTGCAATTAAACCTCCTATGATAATCATTATGTTATGGCTTATCTAAATATCGATCCCTTCTACACTAATATTCCCAAAGATAAGACTTTCCAAAGAATTTCCACCGGTTTGTTTTCAAAACATGCTGACTTTCATCATGGTTTCAGCAGAAAACAATTCAACAAACTTCTCACCTCGCCATTAAGTTGAGTAATTTCGTTTTCCACAACATGACCAAATAGACACGATAGTCACGAGTTTCCCTCTAAAATCAACCTTGGCCAATAGTTTCTCTGTCACCATAAGTACATATGGTCAGACAAATGCCCACCTGATTTCAATACAGTGTAATTTACAGAGGCGTTACATCGCCATGTCCCTTTTAACGAAACGTTTGATCTACACGAAGAGATTACGTTCATGCATAAGCTTTTAAAACAAAATGGCAAACCAATAAACTTTCAAGCTAACGTAAATCCCTTAACAAAAAATTTCAACCTGGTACCAAACAATGAATTATCTTAAAATTTCTTCTAATTATCTATCTGTCGCTCATAGATTCTCAAAGTTTACAAACTTAAAAACAAATCTATAGTTTAATAATAAACTTCTACCCTCAGATTCAACTCAGACTTATCTCGACATATTTTCCGAATTAAAAACTTATTTACGTATAAGGACCGACTACACCAACAATCCTTCATTCACGGTTCATATACAAATTTAGTGGCTGTAAGGTCACATATAATGGCAAAACTAAGCGCCATTTCAAACCTAGAGTCAATGAGAACTTAGAGGTATCGA